CTAAACATTTAGTTAACGATTGATGTTCTAGTATAAAACACGGGTAATAACAATCCAGACAAATTAATTGCCAAGATAGATACGCGAGGTTTTAAGAGTGTAGTTACAAGGCTGCCATATATATATATAGATATAAAAGTTAGTGTCAATAGGCTGAATTCTACAATGTAAACTTTTATCCACAGATTTAGATAGAAAGGAATAATCTGATCTCTTCATCCTTGACAATTGATTACATTTATTTGATATTTATGGCAACTGCGTATGGAGAAAGGAAAATTTTGATTAAAAACTAATGTGATAAAATTGGCTAATATGTGTAAGCGAAATTGTATATAATATTTTGTTTATTTATGTCACTTATTGGCAATGTAAAATTGTAGAATCTTTTGGAGATATAATTAGCTACACGCATGATATGTAAGTACGTAAGTAGCGATAGAGTACATATATATTAGTATTACTCCCATATATATATATCGTAAAATGTTTGGTTCACATCATGCGCGAGTGAATGCGAACGTGCGTTTTATGGTTTTGTCCACTTCAGCTGATGTCAAATAATTTACTTGATGTAGAAGTAAGCAGAGATCTATTAACACTGTAAATAATTTAATTGTACACATAATTGAATTTACGCGCGTGTATCTACTATTATATCAGTAATCGTATATAAATGTACAGTGCATTGAGCTAGTAATTCTTAAGTTGATCGAGAATCATTGTGATGTCATGTTAGGTTCGCACATGCATAATTTTTTTTTTATCTTCATTCAATTGTGAGTTGGACGACAAGCGATCACAAGCAGTCGACTTGTATTTTATCTACTTTCTTTTTATCTCTGTCAGATTATTTTCTCAAGGCAGCTATATTTTTACATGTAGGCTTTTAATGACATCTTTACCTTCCGACGTTGATATACAACTGATGTTAATATTTTGTACGATATTTTTGGAAATTCTGGTGATAGTCGAGGAAGCCTTTCTAAGAATATTGTAGGTACGTACCGGGACTGTATCATAATTTCTATAATCGCGCGAAGATTTTTGTTAAGACTATCGGCAGAATTTCCCCTTTACATATTGCATACGAATAAGTAAAAATATAATTTTAAGTACTGCATTACCAAAATACGAGTGAGATGAATCTATTGAATGTGCAACGAAGAAATTAGACTCGATTTATCGATTTTAGATAGGCAATTAAGCTGCTTCGCGAGTAAGAAATTGAGTTGCTAAGAAAACGGAGAGAACAATTGCTGCAATTGCTTTTTCTTCTTACGCTCGATACGCGACTAATAAACTAGGGTAGGCGGGTAACGTGATCTGTATTTTCTTTTTTTTTTCCTATCATTTGCTGAATGTCTTAGCTTCGAAGGAACAGTCTGTAACGGAAATGGACTCTAAAGAGCGATCGCTACTAACTTAAAAATTACAATCGAACATGTGTAATTTATTGCATATACTCGGACTCTAAGGCGAGGCTTATTTGCAACACTCGAAGATCAATCGTACAATATTTATTGCATTGTGTATATATATACGTATGTGTTGTTAATCTAGTCTAACAATACAGAACGAACTGCTTTGTCAATATTTAAAACGTACACTTCAGCGTTCGAAGTTCTAAAAGAAGAGAGGGAAAAAGGAAGATAGGTTTTTCCACGGTAGAAAAACGGGCTCGCGTCGGAATTATTTGGCCATCCCTACCGTTACGCATGGGCTTCCCTTTTTCTTTCGGCCGAGCGTGAATTTTGCGCGCGGCTCGAAACTCGGATGAAATTGAATCAAATAACTCTCGCCGAACAAATGAATTGACGTTCTTCTGCGTGTAACCGTCGAAGTGGAAGGCGAATGGAACCGTCGCGGGGAACGTACACGGGAGGCTCGCGAGGACGGTCGCGATTCCGTCGATTCGTCGTAAAGGAACTCACTCGCACTCGCCGTCGTATCCCGCGTCGGTTTGGCCGCGTCTTTCGCCCGTAGCGAATACCGATAAGTAAACCGAAACATAATATATCCGTAATAATCGCTATCGATGTGTTTTACCAAGTCCTTCGTCGAAAGATTACATGTATGTAACTTTGCACTCGCGTAGATCTCACGGTAAATATTTAGGAAAGTATCACGTATACATTATAGGAGTACGTATCCCGTTTGTACGTCTCGACGCTTCTCGTTGATTTATTTCGTATTTATTGCCAGCAGCGACAAACACGACATATCCGTAAAACGCTACTTATAGGACGATGAATATTAGAGGAGGAGGAGAGCGAGTGAGACGTGTGTATTAAGATACTGTCTGAAATAATACAACTTTAACGGTCCAGAAATTGATTTGGTTGGTTACGCCGCGTAATTGCAAGCACAATTATGATATATATATATATATCCCACATACAGGATGTTTTAGAAATTATAGGTGGTCAAATTTTAGGAACTTATTCTTATCATGAAAAAAAATCATATAAACATAAATTAAGAAACGCTTTCTATCCGAGTTATTTTTTGTTTACAGCAAAATTTTTTAATCATGTACTGATTGATGGATTGACCAATGGGGACCAATTACATGGTCTGCACGTTCTCCCGATTTAAATCCTTTGGATTTTTGTTTATGGGAGATATTTTTTTAAGACTCGTCTATGATATTCTTGTTACTGCGTGGAGATTCTTCGAAATATTTTATCGCTTATGAGAAAATTCGAAAATTTTTGAACGTTTTAGATGATTTAGTCTGTGAGAGGTTGGTGTGAGACGAAAGGAAGTCGTTTCTAGCAATTTCTTTAACGAAGTGTTTTCACCGATTTTTACTGTAAACAAAAAATATTTATAATTTAGAAAGGAAGCGTTTCCGAACCCTGGTGAAAAAATTTCTCAGAAATTTTGTAAGAATTGCGACTTGTGAAAAATTTTAAAAAAATATATAAAATTTCTCAGATACTTTCAAACATAATTGGATTTTCGGAACATTTCAGTATCTGGATGTATAAAAATTTCTGATAAATTGCATAGATTTTCTCACATTTATTCAGATTTCTAATAAAAAAATATGTTGGCAGGAAAAATCTGAAATATTTTATTATTATTTTATCTGAGTTTTTCTGAAAAATTTTTGAGCGTTTTGAGAAAATTTGAAAATTTGTATATAAATTCTGGTTATGTAATAATATGAAAAATTGTAAGACATTTTTTCTCCAGGGAATCCACACTTTTTCCAACGATGGAACTTTTTCCCATCCTTATATGAATAGAATAAAGGTTTTATTTAAAGTTTGACGAACCATTTCTGAAACATCCTGCATATGTACAAACACACAGACACACACGCAGAGTGCAGAGAAAACGAATCACGTGCATTTCAAGTAGCCGAGATTGTTAACTTGAGAGCTGTTTCAGTTAAAGATACAAAACTAATTACAATCCGTAAGAATCGGCTTTTCAAGATGCGCATACGATTCAACGTGAAGGATACAGATCTGAGCATGTGTCCAGTGTATCCGTGGAACAATAGTCAATAAAACATCAGCAATTTTCAGTCTGTACGTAAAGAGAGAAATGAAAGAGAAAGCATAGCGGTATAAAAATCGAGCGCTCATGTTTCGAATATAAGCAATATCTCGCTGCATTTAACAGGAAAATTCCTTCGGGCTCTGTGTCACACGAGTACAGCTACTTCGTAGCGATCGCCAAACGACTTTGGCTTTGGAATTTGTTGAAATGCATAATCACACCGCGATATAAGGGATCCAATCGCGACGCCATTCCCTCGATCGTTTCCCGATCGACGGCGTCGAATCTTTATATAACTCGCGATATACGCGTACATTCAATATTCGTGTATCTGTCAGAAGGGTACAGGGCGTACTTTTTAAACTGTTTAGACGTCGAGAGGAAGGCGGGCAGGTTGTCGAGTACGCAGTATCCCGTTCAATATCTTACGGAATAATATGTGTCTCGTACAGGGATTTAACGAAACTGTCGTGCACCATAACGGGGTGATTATTGAGAAAGGGAAAAAAAAAACAGAAGCGAATTGATCAAGCATATCATTTGTAAGTAACGTGATATTACTAAGTGTCTCCGCGACGTCCCTCTTGACTGCGCTACGTAACTATCAGCCGTGGCAGGTTTTAACTGAGACACATACACACACACACATACACAAAAATCGAACAGTCATGCTCACACGCGTATTTTCATCGTATACATTATACAATTTATTCCGTAGTCTATCGTCATATTTTTCTATCTGTATTTTTAGTATGCAGGTCGTACATCGCGACATTGTACGTCACGGTACGATGGATACCTTACAATTTGGGCGATCTTTCCATGTCGATGCGATTAATGTTCAATCGTCCCTTTGCGAGATATCTTGCGCGGATATATTTTCCCCTCCTTCCTTTGTATTACCGGACACATTGACGATTTGTATGCGTAAAAAGTTTTTGGGTGAAATGTTATTGCTTTCTTTGTAATGAATGTACGAAGAAATGAAATAAAAATGTGTTAGTCGATGGTACTTCCACCAATTTTGTAGCCAGTCTCGGTTACCTTCAATAAAAAAGAAAAATATATGTTATATATATATATAAAATCAGCGAATTAACAGATCAGAGGCTTTCATAGACGTGATATCAGTCTAATAATGTCTATGAAGAACGATAATTGCGATAGTAAGATATTTAAAGAAATTGAGTTTTAAAGAATTTTTAAAATCTTCAAGTCTTAGTTGCGACTATGGACTATGGAACGTCATTTATCGTAGAAAATGTTAAGTTTTTTTATATTTCGCTAAATATTATGAAATTGGGATCGAGTTGGAGCCTATAAATTAATTAATCTTGATAAAATATTAATTAGCAATTTATTGCTTCTCCATAAAATGGAGATTGAAGACTATAATACAAATAGAGAAAGAAAAAAGAAACTAAAGTTATAACGAGTGATGAAAATTCAGATGTTGCAGAAACATAATAAAGACACATGTTGTAATATAAATATACTTAATTCATATATTACAACTCATATGTTCATATATTATATCAGACACTGCTGTATTTAAATCTGTTGTCTAATCGAGGCTACTTGTCCCATCTTCACGAATCTGCTGGCTCAAATGTATAATGCACTACACCCTTCTTCGGCATCTGTTGCTCCATCTGAAACATATGTATTCATAAAGTACCGAAATATCTAGTTAACCACCGATTTGTAACCGTTGACAAGTACTGACTCTTGGTATGAATGTCTTATAGGGTTCTAACAAGTAAGTGATCGTCGCGCAAGCGATCATAGTTGCAAAAAATATCGCCGTTCCCACATACAGATTGATCCTGTAGTTGTAGCCATAACTGAAGCGATCCTCGCCCATAATTTCAAACTGATCGTGTAGCTGGAAAGGAAAACACAGGGACGCTTGGAGAACGTGATAGACAAATTTCAGAGGTATGTAAATTCGTACACACGTAAACTCACCGTCTCACGATAATTTTTCTTGTATACTGGTATGTCGTATGGATAGTACGGGTCTTTAGCGGCCGGTCCTACCATGGGCAGCTGCGGGTAATCACCGGTGAATTTTTTACCGTCGTCTGGATAAGGCTTATACTCCTTCGGATGCAAATTGTATTTCTCGGCAATTTTGTCATGATCCTTCTCCGAATATTTCCCCGGCCTCCAGAGGTAGTTCCATGGATACGCTGATGGCAAACAGTATACGGAACTTTGTCAGTTTCATCCTCGCTACGTGATTATTCGGATAAATTCTCCAATGATATTCCTTTATGGATTTCCCCACACGTTTTCATACACGCGTTCCTACAACGCGTCTTTACATCGAGTTTTACTCTATATTTTCCACTAAATACGATACACATGACAATTTAAATTATATAATAACAGCAATCCTAACCTCATCGCGGTACTCGGCGGAGCAACAGCTTCGTTATACGAAGCGTGATGAGAAGCAAATTGAAGTGGACATGTACAGTTACTTACGTCTGTCGGAAGAACATCTCACCGCGGCGTACAGACACGCTTTGTTTCGCAACAACCGCGTTGACAGTCCGCCGAGCTCCCTCGTCAAAGCCATCTTGTTGTGGTTGTGTTGCTCTGCTCACTCACACTGCCGCTGCGTGAGCATGCGTATTGCGTGACAGTCTCGTGACAACGTGAGCAAAATATTTTGTTCTTTGCAGCTGCACTACGGTGCTTATTTTCTGCACTTACAATGAGACAGATATATGTATATGTAATTGGACGATAGAGAGAAGGATAAAAATATGTAGCTGTTCTTTATAATTTGTATTTTTTGTACATTCCTCTCTTTCTCTCCAACGTCAACTTGCATATCTACTCTATTTTGAGTGCAGCGAGTACAACATCGTGCAGCTACAAAGACTATCGTTATCGGAGTTTTCTTTAATCGGAGTTTGGTTAAAGTCGCCCTCGAATTGTGTCTACAGATCACGGAAGATTTTACTCGATAACGCGGTTTAACCGCCGCCTTGCTCGAAATCTCGCGTACATATTTTGATACTTTTTTGCGATGCGTATCTTCGCCGCGCCGGAGAACGTTCCGTTAGCTCTCGGCTCGCGTTTGTTCGGCCCGCGCGTTCTCGTCGGCTCGCGCTGCGGAAGCGACGCGAACGCCATGTCCGGCCATTGGCTGGGCGAAGCGAACCTCTACGGCGAGCCGAGAGTGGAAGTATGGCCGACAGCGTGCGTTTCTCGGAGTCGTTCGGCGCAACGTAGCTAAACTCTCGTGCGTTCCCCGTATATCTCTGTTAAGAAGTGCGCGCGTGCGGTGGCACACGCGGCAATGAATCCGGCTTGGTCGCCGCGATAACGTGGAGCGTCCGGAACGGTACGTAGAGCGGCACCCCCCGGGAGACGGGCGGCACCGTTGGATTCCAACGGGATGCGCGCACCGCGCTGAACACCGCGCTTCGTCAGCCACTACTCCGGTTTTTACCTTTCGGCTTGTTGCCTCCAGCCGCGGAAACTATAGCGTTTATTTGTCGCCAAGTGGCCGGAGCGATCGGCGCGGTGTTCTCGAGCGCGGTGCGTCGCCCTGCTTGACTTTCTCGAGTTCAGAACAATCCGCCTTCGACATCGAAAGACGAGAAAGAGAGAAAGAGAGAGAGAGTGTGAGAGGGAAAGAGAGAGGTGGAATATTCTGTCGTAAGGTCTCTTGGATGCAAAAACTCCCTCGAGCGAGCCGTGGTGTCTTTCGAACGTGAGATTATCTCGCCCAAGTGTGTATCTGTTTGAAGTAGTTGAATTGTTGAGTGCTCCACACACTGGCACTTATTAAGAGCACTTATTGCTTGAGCGAAGTCAGATTTCTCTCATTTCTCGTAGATAGGTTGTGACGAATTCTAACGTTTGCATTTTGTTGTGACTTTCAGGAAGTGATCCTTATAGATAAACTGAAACCTTTTGAACGTAATAATATGGCGAGTCCTTCGCCGCAGTCCTCACCCATGCCACCACCACAAGCACCTAGCCCGATGGGCCCTCCGCAACAGGCACCGTCCCCGTCCAATGCACAGGGCAGTCCGATGGGACCGCCGCAGCATCATCCTCACAGCCCGACGCAAGGTTATCAAGGTGGCCCGCCAGGAGGACCACCTATGTCGCAACCGTCGCAACAACCGCCACCTCAGCAGCAGAGTTATCCACCCCACCCGCAGCAAATGCCACCTAATATGGGTCCACAGGTATGATTTATATAGGCTGCGATAACTGTATCCATCTCCTTTTCTTTGAGTTACGTTTTATTAGTGCATTTTTTTTCTTTTTTTTTCTTGGAAAGATCAGAAGGAATCTGGTGCCTTCGACCATACCTTTTGGTCATATAATACAGTTAGTAGTCGTGCATGTACAGGCATATATTATGAGGTAAGAGTGAAGAGAAGTTTTTTATTATGGTATTGATTGATTGGAATTAATGTGTGTGTGTGTTTGTGTGTGTGTGTTGAATGTCAATGTGATATAAATTTGATATTTATTTATTATCAGTATTAAGAACATTTATTATTTATTTTAATTCTAATATAACTATTGAAATGTACAGTAACTATCAGTGCAAGAAGGAAGTACATAATATATCAGTCCTGAGATACAATCTTCTAAATCTTGTAAATTTAATACAGCTTTAAACCACATTTAGTATAATACTGTGTTTTTAAGTTTGCATATAGCATGTATATATGTGTTGTTATAACATGATATGCAATGTACACTCATATGCCAATAATTAATGCAAGTTTTTGTTAAGTATCTCGGAATCAGCTTTCTTAATAAGATCCACAAGTTGTTGTGCAATTTGCTGATTGCATGCCGCTATAACCCTCGGGGTCATTAGATCCAGTTCTCCTCCTGTAAATTGTAAATTTTCGGTATTTAATAGAGATTTTTTTAAATATGATAAAATAAAATTTAGCAAGTTTTAAAATCGAAATAATCGGCAAACTAAATTCGTGATAATTATGGGATTACAAAATGGGATTGCAAAAATTACAAAAGAGTAATATTTACCAGTGGTGTCTATCACAACTCCACCTGCTTCTTCGATTATTAGTTTTCCTGCTGCAACATCCCAAGCATCTATACCTTCAATATGATATGCCTCCACAGCTCCCATTGCTACGTAACACAATGTGAGCGCTGCTGTTCCTAGCGATCTTATTCTAAAAGAGAAACAATTTGTTATTAATAGTCTTTGAGCTGATTTATAATACATATACATATATGCATTATTATAGTGCAATGTACACTACATGTGCCAATGATGAATGCAAGTTTTTGTTAAGTATCTCGGAATTGGCTCGGAATATATACGCACATTAACACACAATTAAAATGTCTTTCAAAAATACATTACCCATGAGTGCCTTGTATTAAAGCGTGCATTCTGCTGTACACGCTGGTCAAATGCTGAGGATCTTTTGCGAGCCACGGTTCCATGGCCACTAATGATTGAGATATGTCTGGAAAGAATAGAAATATTACATATTACGTTCCAAGTATCTTACATATTAAAACTAATTATTTGGGTGGATCTAGCAAACAGGCATATTATAGCTATCTGACTTTTGAAAGTGATTACTTTATGAAGGACGCAACATTAACTGATGTATTGTACATATAGCTTAGTCTGCGGTTTTAATGGATATTAGACAACCTTCCACTGGACCGTAAAACGATGTATTTCTTACACTCATTTTCAGCAAGGCCATAATGTAGTAATGTAGTAATATGTGAAAATTATATTTATATGTTTCTGTGCTATTACACGTTGCTTGAAACATACTATTGTATGCATGCTTCTAATACGAAAACACTTTAAGTGTATAGAATGGCTTACCTTTCGTGTGAGAGGTTTTTATGGGCTTTCCATTAAGGAAGGCACCGCAGTGTCTTCTCGCCGAGAAGAATTGCCTCATAAGGGGATTGTATATTATTCCGATTTCTGCTTTTTTGTTCACTAATAACGCTAAAGAGATGCACGTGTGTGGAAACCGGTGTACAAAGTTGGTGGTACCGTCTATCGGGTCTATTATCCACGTAGGATCATTGGTCAGTTGCGGTAGGCAGCCTTCCTTCGCTGCCGTTTCTTCTCCGATAAATCTGAAAGATTGAATCTTGTTACAGCCACCTTGTTACTGACTTGTCATTGGCAGTTAATAGTTAACTGTCTATTAATCGCTGCACTAACTTACTTGTGCGATGGAAACTGTATGGACAATTGTTTTATTAATTTATCTTCTATCTTGCGGTCGTATTCCGTGACAAGATCCCAGTCAATCCCCTTACTTTTGACATTTTTTCTACAACTGATACCGTCTTCTATTATCTGTAAAAGATGAAATCCTCTTTCAATACATTTCGTGTAAATTCTTGTATTATTCAATATCGCTTTTTTTATCGGGAAAAGTGAACCATGTATGAATATTTGACCATCGAGAGTCTTTTTAATGAGAGATATGATCAATTTGGAATTTATTTTTTTTTTAGTGAAAATATAATTTGTTGCCACTTTCCAATTTTTTGTATCGCATATCTTTATAATTATGCTCCAAATTAAGATATTAAAGTCTATTAAAGTAGATAGATATTAAAGTCTATTAAAGTCTATTGAAAAAATTAGCTAAAAAATATAGTTTTGTTATTTTTGGGTAAGTTTTTCTTTTCTAATTATAACTCGGAAATTAATATATCCAATATTTTTGTTAACAAAAAATCCCGAATTGGATCAATGAATCTATTAAAAGAGTTCTCGATAGGTTTTATGTCTATAATGAAATTAAATTTTTATGTTCTAATGCATGAAAAAGAAAAATATAAAATCGTGAAATCACGAAAATTAATCGGAAAATGATTTGACAATCTGTATGTGTTTTGAACGTAAACTTAAATAATAATTTACTAAATAATTTGATTAATATGAATAAATTTCATAATTTAGTCTCAATCTCAAATTCACATTTGTACTATTATTACATACATATATATATAGTGGAAAATTTGTAGAATTGCATATATATAATAGTAGTTAATTCCATATAATAAAAAAATGTACAACTGATAAAAGTTACATCTATATAGCATACTGAAATTCTCAAACACAGATAATTGATATCTGATAATTCAGTTATCTTATTTGCATCGAAATGTTTACTAAACAAATATTAATTAGATTGAATCAAGTCAATCTTAATATCTCGTGACTTGGCAGCTATCTCATGAATATCTAGCTATCGCGCTATCTCGCAATATGAGCTTTCGCTTGTCATATTTTTTTTGAATAATAACGCACCTTTCCTGCATACAAAACCAACTCTTCAGCGATTCTGTAGTATTCGTCCAAATTATTTAACTCGCACATCTTTACCAATTGTTCCTGCTTTTCTGGTACGATTGAACAGAGAACGATCGGGGAGTTTATAAACACTTGCACAACTCGGTTTTGCAAATACTCGTCGACTCGGTATCAGGGCGCCGACTGACTGATGTACCGCGAGACGCTGTCAACGTGCCAGGTCGGATGCACGAATGAACGTCGTAGGTAGGAACGGCCGAAACTTATCTGATCGCGAAAGTTTTATGCCGTTCGCGATATGACGTCAGAGCGCAAACCTGTACATTGTCGTAAGTTGATTACGCACGAGCGCCGAAGCGAATCTGAGGTCTACATCCTAATCATGATTTCGCTTGACTTTCCGTAAAAATCGCGCTATTTTTGTCCTTTCCGCATTCGTCAGTAGATTCTATAATTAGATGACACATCCTGGGACATGGATTTTCCCTGCGGAGAACGCTTTAAATTTTCCACTCAGAGGACTTCGGTGGTCATTAAGTGGTCAGATTTTATTAGTGGAGGAAAAAACAGATCGTAAAATCGTCTCTTTCGTGCGTCTCTAATTGCGAACATAATTTATGAAATATTCCATATTTACATTGGTACTATGTAATTGTCTATTTTTTTAAAAATTGATTATTATATATAGCTCCGAAAAGAGATATGTAGACGGTTTGTAGAAATACGACTGAGGAGATTAATCATTTTATTTATCAGTTGAGATGGATTTATTACCGTTTACATTTACACAAATCAGATAATACATTTCTACTTGTCTAACTGATAATACCCCTTCGAAAGGTCTATTACTTTCTTCTGATTCATGATATAACTTGAGATCTACAAGTATTGCGAGCAGTTCAATCATAACAGAGATTGTCAATACATATATTTTAAAATTGTCGGCGTTATTTTGCCCTCATTTCCACCCGTTGATCAGCTTCACGGATGAGTTTAACGACATCGCGAGCGATCCTGTCGTTGCACGCGGCTACTGCACGTGGCTCCATAATGTCGATTGGTTTGCCTGAAATAAAAAAAAAACGAAGGATGTGTGGTAGCCGTGTTGGAGCGAAACAGGCGATAATTGAATCCACGGTTGGAATGGCACAGTCATACAAATAAAAATAAGCACAAGTAAATTTTGTACGCACAGGTGTTTTTCATAAGATTTATGAAAATCGTGAGTGAGATCTTTTTCTAAAATGCAACTGATACATTTTACGACTTATATTACTTTCTCTACCGTTGTGACCCTCAGTTTAAATGACGGCAAGGTATAACAAGCATATAGGCTATAATAACACAACCTGTTATGCGGTCTACGACGACGCCTCCCGCTTCCGAAATAATCAACGACGCTGCGGCTATGTCCCACGTCGAAATGCCGGGACCTTCGATGTGATAGGCCTCCACGATCCCGAGCGCGATGTAACATAACGTTAATGCCGCCACGCCGAGAGTGCGAATGCTTCAAGGTGAAATAAATAGTGCGAGAAAACGGAACAAGTTGGTAAAGTGGCCTGGTTGTCACAAGCTGAGACTTACCCCTGAGCCGCTTTAACGACAGCTAGGATCCTCTCCATCGTCTTCTCTCGTAAATCCTCTACCTTTATGAAACCGGATTCCATGCAGACCAAAGCTTTCGATAAGTCTGCAAAGTCTCGGCGTGTGTATATTAACATTCGCGGAATTAGGGCAATTAACATTCATATATACAATGACGCTTTCTAACTTTATCCTTGCGATACGTTTCTGAAGTGTAAGCAGTGATTTCTCTAGATCATTACCGCACCACATACTTAGCATGTTGCAATGCGGCTATTAACAAGTGTCGATCTATAATACCTGTCATTCTATAGCTTGAGGGTAAAGAGAGGCAAATAGCTTGAGATGCGATACAAATACAATGTATCTTTTTTGTATTTTCTAGCAGCAGGACATTGATTATCCTACATTTACAATATTAATATAAAACCATTAAATCCGTCTTTTGTTCCGAGATGTTCAGACGTGAGGGACCGGCTAGAGTAAATTCTTTGCTACTGCGCAGGAAGCGCGGTATCATATATCATCCTCCACATTCTTGTCATTTTTGCTTACATTCGCGTATCTCATGAAATATTGCAGAGACTAATTACGTTACCTTGTACTTTAGACACGTGGATCGGTTTCCCGTTCAAAAACGCGCCTCGTCCTTTCCTCGCCGTAAATAGCTGCTCGAGAATCGGATTATACACGATACCAAGAACCATTTCTTTTTTCACGGCCAAACCGATAACCACGCACGTGTGCGGGAATCCATGGATGAAGTTGGTGGTGCCATCGATGGGATCTATGATCCACGTAGGAGTGTCCGTTAATTCCGGTAGGTCCTTGCCGGTCGACTCCTCCGCGATAATCCTGACGCGTATGACCGTACAGTTGCGTTAATTTTACCGTGCATTATTTGCTTTTTGTCAGATGACACGCGCCGTTTGAGAAATGTCTATTTACCTGTGATTTGGAAATGCGCGTTTGAGTTCGTCGATGATAACATTCTCTATTTTACGGTCGTACTCGGTGACGAGATCCCAATCGCCCAATTTCTCATCGATGTGTTTGAGACTGTTGATGGAATCCCGGAGAATCTTAAATAATACTTCGTATTTAAGACAGATTACATTAAATCGTTGAAAGATTGTCGAATATTGCATAAATGAAAGATGAAAGGGTGAAATGAGCAAGACGATTATTATATTTGCGAGGTAAACGCGTTTTCAACATTTTAAACGCGTACAATTTATACTAGAGACGAACTTGATTCGTGGCATTTCACAAATTGCACGACGGAATTCCGTTTTAACTTTACAGAAGTTTCTTGCGTGTTTCCTTCACGTTTGTGTTGTTTTACATGTCAAAAGATTGTTCTCGTTAAAATCTTTTCTTTGTTATCTCTCCTGTATATATTCAAATGTTTCAAATTATAAATCACCTGACGTTTTAACGCAGCGAGGAATACATATAGCGAGGAATACATTATACTGAAGTTTACACATTAGAGGAAAGGACAAGAAAGGGTGCGTTACCGCTGCGTGAAAAGAGGAAATAATCTACGTTTTCGTCGCTTTCGTAGCAGCCGCATTTTCAAATGGGCCAATAATTGTATATTGTTAATCAGAGAAAGTCTAGAGTATCTCGAGGATAGGATACTCCTCGAAATGGATACCGTTGGTGGATATCTCGATGCTAGATACGTTCGAGGGACGATATCAACTAGATTGGATTGGATTGCATTGCATTGGATACTCTACATTGCATTGCATATTCTTCCTGTTGTTTCAAGTATACGGAAAAATTGCTTATGGCGCAGCGTAGGATCATTTATCGCTACAAACACGATAACATTTAACAAGTTCTTTATTTATCGTAAGCATCATTGGGATCTTTATCTTTTTTAAATTTAATTTTCGAAATAATAAATAATTGTTGGTTGAATAATATTTGATATTCATTGATTTTGATAAAATTATGTGGACATAGATTATTTTTAATAAATCAACCCTGTTGATTGTAGAGCGAATAAAAATTTGTGAAAATTTACGAAAACCAACGTCAGGGGGGATTAGTTATATTATTTTACAAGTAATTATTATTTAATTATTTTATTCATATGACTACGTAGTTATGAATCACATATGACACAGGGAATTATTAGTAATTATTTTCATAGAAATTTTATTACAATATTACGTAATAACGAAAGATTAGAATGACAGCGTAAAATTCCTAAAAAGTTTAAAATGTGGATACGCCGGGCCTCTTTATGATATGTAAAATATATTCGGCTCCACACATGTTCTAGGAGATTTTATATCTGACATCATAATAATGTTACAATCTTTCTGGTCGCGTTATCTTCAAATATGTAACCATGTATGAAGCAATGTTTTCCTAATGTCACATCGACTGACAAGCGATCTCAATAGCGTTACGCTTAATACGCATATTTAGTTTGCTTAGCGACGCTTCGTTTGATAGTGACCACGTGGGTCGTGGAGTCTTCACTCTGACCAGAGATGACATTGCGAGATGTATGCTCACCTGGGCAGCTTCACGCGTCAGTTTAATGGCAGTTTCGTAGTACACGTCCTCAACGTATCGTGCCATTTCTGTACAACTTGGTGAACGCGCAGAACGAACGTGCGTCCGTTTCGACCTCGTCAGGAAAAGGCGCGAGCGAGTACTGTGTTGGTTGTTTCTGCACCTCGTGCTTTTTCACTCGGATCGGTTGCGCCTGTCGCAGTTACAATCCAAGAATGACGATCGGCGCATTCTGCCGGCTTATTCTGTCTGTGGGTTTTCCTCCCGAGAGTTTTCGCTCGACGCCTTTTGCGGGAATTATAAATCTCTAATTACAACTCGTCAACAAGAGCATGATAATATGAAGTAAAATAAACTCGACTACTTATGCCTATTTGTTTGCATATGATAGGTATTACAATGTTTTAAATCCGCTACAGTTTCAACATTTCACGTTGCTTTTCGCAGTGATGAGCTAATAAAACGAGATGTAATTGCTGTATAATGAGATACGATATCTGCCCGAGACTATACCGTCTTGTCTACTTTATGAGATAACAATAATGCCATTCTAAAATAGACCTTGATTTTATATCCTGTCTGAGATGTACTTAATTGCACGCACCTGTCACAC